TCATTACCTGTCACGGGCAAGCAGCCTGGAGCAACAAACTTGGCACGCCACGGGCTCCCAGGGGGAAATGTGGGGCAGGGAAACTCTGCGCGATGCATGAATTCACGATACAATTAATGGTCCTCGGGAGGCCGCATTTGATTTGTATTTATATTAAGCAGGCGGCGCACGAAACAGATTTCCGCCGGGGAACGGGCTGGCTGGCCAAATGAAATCGAACAAACATTTATAGCCCAGCCCGCCTGTCAGTCTGTCACTCCCACGTGGCAGCAGCTCCAAAAGTGGCCGTGGCATTGGCAGTGGCAGTGGCAGTGGCAGTGGCAGGAAAAGTCACGGCAGGATGGCCACCGGGTAAACTGGCGTAATTGAAAGCGACTTCCTTGCGAGCTCTTGCTCCTCAAGGACACCGTCGCATCCTTGTGGCGCCAGTTTATTGGAATCGGTCTGTGGCCGGTCGATTATCTGATTGCTGGCGCGGCACTATGTACATTTAAGTCGGCCAACCGACCATCCTGATGTGGCATGTAATTTGATTATATGCAGGCCTCCGTCCAGTCCATCGCCACAATGTTTGTCTAATTGACAGTAATTAAACGAAAACGAACGTCCCTGCCAACCGAAGGTCAGAGTGGCGGCAAATTTGCCACATCAGCCTGGATGTCATAGGCAAATTGATGGATGATGACTGGGGTTGCAAAGGAGCAACTAAGCAACAGCTCAGTCATGCGTGCCGGCGTGGATTGTTGGGGCTGGTCATGCCAGTAATCCTGCCGAGTCACTCGCATATTAAATAAAAATCAACAGAACAAAGTGTTGCATTCTGACACAGCAACCTGCAGATACAGTCGATCTTCTTTAAGTCAAACTTCCCGTAAGTACAACTAAATTGTATGGAAGTTTAACGGAGAAACTTTGTTGAATACCAACAACTTTGAACTTCCATAACTCAAATGGTTCTAATGCGTAAATGAAGTTTTTAGTGCAAAATGACTTAGCCAGGGATTCAAAAGGAAACTTTACGGAATACATAGTTGCAGATAGTTACGTGTGGAAAATTCAACAAGCTACTTAGTTGTCTAATTGTTAATAATTTCTAATAACAACTCAGAACCATGAGTTTTATTTTAAAGTTATATCAAAAACAAAAACTAAATCATATACATATACATTGTTTCTCACTCAGCTTTTGTTTGGTCTGAATGCCATCTCACATTCGAAATGACACATTCAGTTGCTTTCAGTTACAGTTCTATCCAAGTTTTACAAATGTTTAACTTTCAAAATCAGTTTCTGTTGAAAATATAGGATATGTATGTACTTTGTATGTCTAACTTTTCGAAACAATAATCGATTTTTGAGTCATTTGTAACTGACATATTAAGACACATTTCCATTGAAACTATAGCAATTTTGGCATTTAATTTCGACAATGTTGGAAATAGGTAAATAAAGATTTTGATAAACAACTTCACATGTCACACATCCACAGTGAACTACTACGGCACATTGTAATAGTTTGGATTAGGAAAGACCGACTGCAGAGTAATGCTGGCAGGGATTAGGGCGTGGCAGGGCAGGGGTTTTCAAATGCCAATGTCAGTGCCACCGTCAGCGGCCACGTCAAAGCCACTGCCACTGCCATTGCCAAAGGGACCCTGACGCGTATTGCCAAAACTGGATTTTCGATTGCTTTTCGGTCGCTTTTATGCTCCCTGGGTGACCTCGTCCTCCTCGGAAGGCCTCAATTGCAGCAGCAGGAGCATTGTGTGGAAATTGCTGTTCGGCGCTGGGTGTGCGAGTGTGTGTGTGGTAATGTGGCTGCTGCATTTGCAATTTCTAAATTCCCGATGCCATGCAAGGGCAGCAAAAATTGCAGTGGCAACAAGAACAAGTGCATGGAAATGCCCCAAAAAAGTTGCAGCTTTAGTTTGCTGCAAACTAGCGGAGGCGTCGCCCACCTGTCCGTCACCGGATTTATAGCCAAGAGCTCTTCGTGCCCCCCACTCTGGCATAGCTGCATTTGGGCAGGGGGATTTTGCCCCGATCCATTCGGAACTTTTGGTATTTGGCTGCGGGTCAGAGCCGAGGACTATGTGTACTTTGGAAGTCTAGAAATAGCAAGAACCGTATGAAAAGTTTAGCAGCCCGAAACGAAATAGTTGGCAGTGGACGGAAGACTTCCGAAATCCCATAAATGTTGGACAAATATTTTTAAATTTCCAACTGAGAAAGAACTTAAACAGGAAAATTGTAAGGATTTCTTTGCTAAACAAAGATTATACGAAAAGTTTATAATTACTTTTTGTTGGCTGCGTGGATACTTGACGATAATGATGATATTTTACTTTCACAACTCGTTGCTTTAACTGCAGCCTTGAGAAATTAGATACATTTGAATGGCAGCCTGACTAACTAAGGCTTACAATCAAATGTGGTTTTAACCAATTGCCTGTCAATTTCCGTTGCCAGCTCAAAGTCAGAGTAAGTTCCGTCCAAGCCATAGGTCACTCGAGAAAGCCGATAATCAGGAGTTATCAATCACTTCGACAGGTCGGTAGTCCCCACTAATTAATATTTGATGCCGGAGCTGCGATAGAGTAACTGCCATTATGCAGGTGTGCTCAACATCAAAGTGCCCGCAAACACAATACCAGGCACATAAATAATCTTGCCCACTTTTGTGGTCCAAATTCACACAAAGCCAATTTGAAGGCTTTTTCGGCTTGGCTGAAATTTGATTAAGTGAGTGCCACACCCGCAGAAGGGGCGAATGGGCCATCAATTTAAATCAGTCGGTTGCCTCTCCATAAATAAGGGTTGCAGTCGAAGCTGCGAACTGCGAGACGGCCGCCATATTAGCAGACATTTTTAACAATTCACCTTAATGGCGCAGATCGCTTTTGGCCAAGGTGAGTGAGCCGGGCAGACGGACAGACAGACATCCCGCAGCCAAGCAAACGAATGTTTGAACCGGAATGGCGTCGTTTAATCAGGCAAAGTGATTTCGCCTTGCACGCACACGCGCGTACTTAGCCACAATCAACTTATCATTTTGCACATATGCATACACATATATTTAAACCAGATAGGGCAGGAACTTGGAAGAAGAGGAGGGAGCAGGACCAGGGGAGTGCCACGCCCTCTCAGACAGGAAGCCAGCTGATGTTAAGGTAGTTTAACCTTACGCAACGACCCGACTGTAAATCTACGCCCGCTATCATGCCAAGTTCCTGCCGATTCCCGGTCCTCTACACATTAAAAAAATTAATGAAAATGATGAACCTCTTTTCACTACTTAAATATTCAATTTGCCAGAACTGGATCCAAATAAATTCTCAAAAATTAATGATAATAAACGGATTACAAAAACCATAATTAAATATCACAGGCAAAATTAATAATGATTTTACCACATAAAAATATAATTTTATTTAAACTGTGGAATAAGTTCCATATGGCTACTATAATGTATGTATGTACGTGATCGAGAACAAAAGGATGCATAAATTATGATATCAATAAGTTGAATGAAAAGTTCGTATTCTCTATTCTGTATATAATTGCAATTGTAATTTCAGAATAAAATTACTAAATTTCTTTTTTTGCTTATCAAAATAATAATACTTTATTTTTTAAAGTGCATGCCTTCATGTGCGTGTCTGGCTCGCGACCTCCTGCTCGATGTTCTTTTTTGGTTCATTTTCCCCAAGAGGTGGAGATAAATTTATTACCATTTTGCAGTTATAATATTTCAATATCTCCTTCGGGGAGCGGAGGTCGGAGGCCTGGCCTGTGTGCCCATTATCGCAATTTAAGCACGATTCAGGCAGAAATATATCCACAGTTTAGCTACTCCTTAGATTGCCGGCTACGTGATGTATAATCCATTCCAGAATGCATGCGACCCAAAATCTTTCGGCTTAGGTTAACTTGGGTAACTTCCTCAACCACCTGGGGTCAATTATTGGAGATGGCGGAAACTAGGATTGTGGATCACGGCTACTGGAGCGAATGGACCACGCCTGGTTAAACCATCTAATTGGCATGTGGCAAGTTTCTAATGAGTTGCGGAAACTTCCATCTGCTGAGGCTGTAAAAACAGCTGCGTCACTGCAAGAGTTAGGTATGGAAATTGAATTAAGTGACTTGTCGTTTTAATTTATTATAGGATTTGAGCATTAAACATCTGAAAAGATAAGCGGAAAAAATAAAATAAATCATAAAAATTTGATATTTAATAAAGGCCTTTAAAACAGACTGCATTTGTTTGTAAATTATATTGATTTCCGGGGAACCTTTGTTTTTTGAATCACATTTCAACTGAATTAATTACTACATCAGCAGAAGTATATTTCAGAAATTAATTGAAATTCTCTAGAAAAGTAATAACATTAACCCTAAGAACTTTAAAACGAATAAACACATAAGAACACGCATCGCGAATGTATTAAAATGTCTGATATTCCCATTAAGCGCAGCAGGAAGTAACTTTTTACAAATACAAAGCTTTCAATGGAAATTTTAAATCACTAGTAGGTACTTTAAATTAATGTTTTCAATAGAGAACACATTCATGGAATGGATACCATGTCTGCATTCATTGCAAGCGCCGCAAAATATTTTTATGCTTCATCAGGCCGAATAAAACCAGCAGCTTTTGGCTGGCCAAAAGTGTGGCACCGGATTTTGGGGAAGAGTCGGGAACTGAGATATTTTATCATTCAACACTCACAAACTGCAGTTGCCATGGCCAACGCTCATGGATGATTTTGTGGCAACGGATGCACTACCAGCCGCACTTTTCCAATTTACGCGCCCTATCACTGGTTATGAATTTTTCATTAATTTAGCCAGGGAATGGAAGCACAATATATTGTAAAAATATATACTTGGTAAACGCGAGCGGTCATCAGCGAAGGACTCGTAAATGAAATTACCATGTTTATTTAATTCCCGGCTCATTTGGGATGCAAATTCGTCGCGTTGCGAGTAAACAAAACTTTTGGGGGCTGCACTTTATTCAAATTAATAATAAATAGATAGACTATATATACACATCATTAGTTCCTCTCAAAAACAGGGTTATAGCGCTGGTAACTAGTCATTCACTATGCATATGTGGATTATTTTTGCGTCGCGTCGAATTCAGCTGGCCATTAAGGGGGTTAAGTTAGCTCGAGGGCCAGTCGCCTGGCCTCAACCTTGTCCTGGGATCGTCCTCCGTCCGGTTTCCGTGCCATGTCCTCGCGTCCTTGTCGTGACTCAATCGCCGCCGCACACTTGAGCACGTTTGCCCAGGCGGGGCTTGAACGGCACCGATTTCTTTATCATGCGCTGCATGAACTGCCCGCCAGTGGCCTCCTCGCTGCCCCCCATTCCCGCCGCTCCCTCGGCGTCCAGGAGCCGCTGAAAGTCAATGCTGCGGCCAAGGCGTGGCGTCCGCACGCGATAAGCGGGCTCGCCACTACTCTGCACTGTTGAAACGAAGAGAGGAATTGTAGCAAAACGCGGTCAAAAATTGATTGGTTTTCAATACAAGGTAATTTAGAATTGTACTTTTAAACTTGGAACACCTATTAAAGAGCTACAGTACATAAAATATAACGATGCCATAAACTTCTCAAAGATAGTTTTCAAGTATTTTGTATATTAGAAAAATTTAACTAAAATTTCAAAATTGATTCATTCTTAAAATGCTCATATTGCAACGGTAATGAGTATGTTAGGATAAAACTGAAGTTTAAATTGAAATTTCGGTATAAAACCTTTTTCGGTATAAAACCTACTTTAAACCACCTAAGATTTCTTTGAAAGCTTCTGCGGAAGAACCCATAATATATATGAATAGCTTGATTTTATGTCAAATGAATAATTCAGAATATTTTGATAGAATGAAAAATAATGAGGGCAATTGACATGCATACTAAATGGCAATTGGATTTTCATATTAAGTTTTTCTCTCTGCAAAAAATAAGGAAAGCTTATGGATAAAGTATGCCCAAGTAATGGAGATGGTGACGTGAGTGTGAACGTGCTTCGGGAACCAATTATAAGGGTTCCGGATATTTCGTTTTTCACATTTCAGCACGCGTCCATCTCCAGCTGGCGTTGCGTATACGCGGCGTGTTCCAGGTGTCGACTTACACTGTCGCAGCTTCTGCAGCAGCAGGTAGTAGGTCAGTGGCGGCATGCTATCCAAATCGAACTCCTGGCCCTGCGGCGGCACGGCGGCCACCGGGATTGTGGCACTCGCCTTCTGGGCCAGGCTATTCTCCTCCAGCTCGTCAATGATGTCAGTCAGCTCTTTATACTCGCCCATGGCGCGTTTCTGGCGGGCTTCACTCATGGCCGCCACCGCTGAAGTTGATGATGATGATCCTCTGGCAGAGCCTGCGCTGATGTGATTTGCCAAATCCAGTTTGCTCGTGCCCTGCACAAATAAAGTGCCACAAAGCAGAGCACAAAAAAAAGCACACAAGAGGTATGAAAAAAGGAGCTAAATATTTGAGATATTTCCTTGGAGGCTAGTTTTTTTTAGGGGAGACCCAGGCCACCAAACTGTCGACACGTGTTAAGTTATTTTTATGCCGCCTATTTATGCCCATACTCGTACGTGTGCTGCACACTCAAAGGCGTCTTACCAACCCGCTTTTAGGTGTGTGTGGGTGGGTGCGAATGTGCGAGTCAAGCACTTTATTGTTTCAATTTACAGCCTGGCTGGCAGCGTGTGCCGCTTGATTAGACAACTCAATGTAGATTGAAATGCCAACACCTGAAATCGGCTTGTAAGTCGCACTTCGCCCATAAACGCTCACTCTAAGCGGCTGCGCGTGGGCGTATACTTGATATTAAACCTTCATTTGGCAGAGCGTTTAAGATTACACACAAATAAATTCCATTTGTCGAAATAATTGATTATTATCAATTCATGTGGACTTAAAAGATACAGATTCTTTTAACAATCTCCTCAGATAAGAAATATATTTGTTGTGGTGTCACTTTAAAAGGACTAATATCTATTTGACATTTTCTTCATAAGCCTTTAGTTGGAAAAAATCCTATAGTATCTTTGACTGGATAACACTAATGATTTCTAAAATTATTTTTGACTTCAAAAAAAAATGTCATGTAAAAACATCTTTTAAATTCTAAGTGAGCGGTTGCTTGATAATAATCCTAAATTTTGTCAAGTTATAGCAATACCTCAAACTCCGAATGGCTATAAACTGTGATAGGCATGATGATTAGTGTGTTTTGGATTTTACCTCATTTCCATTGCAAACACATAGACATAGTTATTTTAATTGGTGGTGAGAATGAGCTACGTAATACGTATACGCACTGTGGCTGCCACTGCACACAAAATGTTAATTTGTAACGAACCGCTACACTTATTAATACAAATCAGGCTGGATGTTGTCTCGAGATACCATCGCACGCGAAAAAATATATCCGGCTCTGGCTCTTCGGCTATGGGTGTGATGGTCTTGCTGATACCTCGGAATGCCTTCCCTAATAATAACTAGATACTCGCGTGCATCACCAAACTGAAACCGGGTTAGAGAAACACACACATTAAATCATCACTTTAAATTCCCTACTTTCCCATTTTGGCTGACTTCTCTTTTTCGCCTCCCTGGATGTTGTGGAGGTCCTGGTCTTGCCCACCCTACCAATGGTCGCTCATATCCTCAGCGCTTAACAGCCTGAGCGACCCCTTTAACAAGTGCTAGTCTACATTATAAGACAACGCTAGCTGCGGCCACTTTTCAATTTAGCAAAACATTATATAATTTTATTAATAGCTAGATATATAAACCATTTCTTAAATTAAACCGTAAAAAGACATGCATAAAATAAATAAATAAATATAAACGTTAAATATATATATATATATGTTAAAATATGGCAAATAATGGGTATGTAAGGCAATTAAAAAAACTTGTTGGTTGATGCCAACATGGTTAACTGAGGCATGGGGATCATATCACTCGAGAGAAAAATCTTCATATTTTATTTAATTTGTTTCTAATCCAATTTTGACTTTAACTTTATTTTTACCATTTAAACTGAAGGATGCATCACGATATTCATAATCAGCTTTTAGTTCAATCTGAATTCAATCTAATTTACTTTACTTTTTTTTCTGAGTGTAGCAATTTTTTTTTGTTTCTTTATTTCTCCATATTCGTTTTTTTTTCTTTTAGGTTAGCATTATAGATTTTAAGTTATTTCTTTTGACTTTTCTTATAAGATTTTGTATAGATTTTCTTTTTAAAAACTCACCACACTTATGTCCATCCACCGACGAAAGCGCTTTCCTCGTTGACGATGGCTAAATAAGGTTGAATAAGGGAAACACACTCACAGAGACATATATATTTTTTAAATCAGGAATTAAATAAAAAGCGGAATGTACAGCCCGTGAAGACCTTCTGATGGCATCAGCACTACCTTCTCTGGGATATGAATAGGAATTTATCCCCAAACCACACTTTCACCGAACAAAATAAAATTAAATTTTTTTTCTCTACTTTTGACGAACGAACACTTATTACATGACTTAAACCGAATTTTAAACCTAAACTTCCCGCTTTTCCGTGGCGAGTACTCCGATAACCCTTCCGACCGGGATTTGGCCGAAACGGCGAGGATTTTCTTGGCCTAAATATGGTCTTTCTAACTCCCCGAGAATTACTTTTAAAAGCACAGACCGTAGCCGCGACGTCGCATGCGCACTCCGAGCAAAGAGAAACTGATAAATCGGTTCGATCGAACCTGTGTTTAGTTCGCCTCGATTAAACGGCTCGATGGTCAGACGGCGCCTAGCTCACTTTTCTGGCTTATGAAATTTGGGGCTGACACACCGGATAATGGGGATAATTAAAGATGGAAATATGAATAGACACTTTGTTTCGCCCTTCCTTGTGCGCTGTTGTTCCGAGTTGAATATCTGGCGTGGAGGTTGCTCGCTCGTTATGTGAACTGCGCGGGCGCCCGTTCGTCTCGATCGAACTCGCCTTTATTTTACTTTGCGGCCTTCGAACATCAATCCAACGGTGGCCTATAAAACCCCCAAAAATAATCACCTGCCTATAAACTCGCTTGTTTTTCATCTCACCCTTTTTATGCGGCTCAAAGCCAAGTTGTTTAACTCCTTCCCTTCGGCACTAAAGTGAGATCACTCGCGTGTACTTTCGAATTTTAATTTAGTCACTGCGAACTCTCGACTTCACTCTGCTGCTGCCAAACGGAAAAGAAAGAACACGCCGCCGGAAAAGTGGCGGTAACCCCAGATCGAATTCAGGGTGAAAGCGGAGACAGTTGACACTTGCCACTGTTGCTCTCTCGCGGCTATCCTACCGATATCTACTAGTCTCTTATCAACTCTAGTGGCAACGCAATACCTTCTCTCCAACATCCAACAGATGGCGCTAGAAAAGTATCTTTTTTCCGAGCAAGCGCTACAAAAATACCCCCCCATCAAGATCAGACTTGGGGCAAATACTCCAAGGCTGAGAACACCACAGCTTGCGAGGCTACTGTTTAATATCCTTTGCATGGAACCTGCCCACATCATGTCCCTGTAGGTCCTCGAGATCATAATAAGCTTGCCCAATCCTTTTCTTTACTCTTGCTTTCACGAAAGCTGGACCCAATTTCGCATTATAACCAGCTGCGAAATTGCTCTGTTTGAAGTTTCTTCGATAGACCTCTTGACCTTCCCTAAAAGATACTTCTCTTGACCGCAAATTATACCTATTCTCATTCTTTTCAAACTGTTTTTTCATCACCTCTAACGCTTTACTGCGGACAAGTTCTAGCGAATCTTCCTTTGAGAATGCCAACGATCTATCTTCGAGCAAATTGAGAGCTCTTAGCAACTTATACGTGGCACCAGTTGAAATGAAATTTTGTCCAAAAATCATATAGTAAGGTGAAGTCCCTAAACTCGAGTGAACTGCTGACCTGAGAGCACAGCAAATGCTGCTTAGCTGCTCATCCCAATCCTTTTGGTCGCTACGCACATACGATCGTATGGCAGCAATCACTGATCGATTTACCCGCTCCGATGCATTAGCTTGGGGCGAGTAAACAGCAGTGCGAGTATGAGATATCTGGTACTCTCTTAAGAGTTTCTGGAAGGCCTCCGACTTAAATTGTGACCCATTATCTGAAATTACAGTCTCGGGGACCCCAAAAGTATGGAATAGGTCTTGCTGCATATATTTAACTACTACGTCAGCTGTTAGTTTTTTCACTGCCTTCAGAAACACAAACTTGCTGTAGTGATCTAGCACAATAAATATTCCTATGTTTCCGCTCCTTGATCGGGGATACGGACCCAAAAAGTCGACGTATAATTTCTGAAAAGGCCTTGCAGACTCTGGAGCTTTTCCCATTGGTGGTCTTAATATACGATTTGGAGCCTTAGTCATTTTACATGTCTCGCACGCCTGAATATACTCCTTCACGTCCTTCACCAGTCGTGGCCAATAGTAATACCTTCTTATCCTCTCCAATGTTTTATGAACACCCCCATGTGAAGCTAAAGGATCATCATGTGCATTTTTGAGGACGTCGGGCACCAGTCCCATAGGAATCCACAACTTCCAACAAAAGTTATCGTGAATCGGATCCCCAGACAAGTGTTCCGTTTTTCTATATATAAATCCATCCGCTACTTTTAAATCGGGCAGACTGCTCGCGTTGGCTCCAATTTTCTCAGCTAGATCGATATAGTCGGGATCGCTAAAGTGCTTGGATTCGAGATCAACCAATAATCCATGACTGGCATCTACGGCAGCTATCTCTTCTTCATTGACCCGGGACAAGGCGTCAGGAACTACATTGAGCTTACCGCTTCTATGCTCAATTTTAAAATTGAAACCCTGGAGTTTCAATGCCCACCGAGCAAGCCTAGAATGCAGATCTGTCTGCGACATTAGCCACTTGAGAGACGCGTGGTCCGTGATGACTGTGAAATCATGACCCTCAACATAAGCCCGAAACCGTTTTATGCATATTATTGCAGCCAAACACTCTTTTTCGCTGACCGTGTAAGACTTCTGCGCTTTGTTTAATTTTTTCGAGACAAATGCTATCGGACATTCTTCGCCACTCTCCGATTTCTGCACTAAAACCCCTCCTACTCCGGAATTACTGGCATCGCAATGAATATAAAATGGCTGGCTAAAATCTGGGCTACGCAAAACTGGGGCCGAACACAGCATTTCCTTTAATTTCTTAAATGCTTCCTCACCTTCAGGAGTCATTATAAATTTCTGCCTGGGCTTCAAAAGATCCGTCAAGGGTGCTGACACGGCTGCAAAATTGCTGATGAATTTTCGGTACCACCCGACCATTCCAAGAAATCTTCTCAATGATTTTAGCGTCCTAGGCAATGGAAAATCCGTCATTGCCGATATT